ACAAAATTTAACTTTCTAATAATATTCACAATTGTCTTTTTGCAGGTTATGTATGGCTTTTCTTGCTTTCACTTGCATTCGATATATACCGGCTCATTTAATATTTTCAGCGATATGCTTCCTTTTCGTTGTGATAATATGGATTTGCGCCGCTGTGTTAGGCACCACCCCTAATATGTTTGTTTATGTTGCATTCCTTATAATTGTCATTGGAATTCTTAAAGTAGTTCAAGAGGTTCTTCAATTGCATTTTTGAATTCTAAGAATTGGAAACTCTTGTAATCGTCTTTTTCATGAATAAAGTTGAGTTTTTGTTTTGACTAAATATATTGGAAACAGTTTCCATTAATGATAAACGAGCGAGGTTCCTAGAACATGTCCAACTACTATCATTAAGATATTAACGTTAGGTTTGAAACAATCAACAAAAAACAATCCACTCTTCTGACACTAATCACCTAATTATGCTAAATTCTCATTTCAAATTAATAAACATCGCAATCGAACTTAAAACGAAAAAAAAAGTTTATTGATTCAATCCTCTTTACCAGAAAACAAAAAAAAAAGTTTCAAATATAAGAGATTATTTTTCAGAGAAAAGGAGCAGAGAACATCTGGAAACAACTCTCATGAGAAGATGAAGAAGAAGAATCAATCTGCTTGTTAATGATGCTACCATCATCAAGCTTAAACACACTAACATCTTCCCCGTCATTGAAGTAGATAGCATTCTCCAAACATCCATAGTACTTGGAGGCTAAGACCAAAAAACAACTATCCGTAGCCACAATGAGTGCCTTGTCTCCCAAGGAACTGACCTCAACCCATTTTACCAAATTCTTGTCCATCTTATAAACCGTAAAACCAACGGGTCTCTCTCTAAGAACTCGATTTACGCGAAATTTCTTACAGAAACGATGAATAACGCAGAGATCTCCACAATACTCGACGAATCTCTTTTCTTTGCAATTATCAATGTCGTAGTAGTCCAATGGAGTTGAAGGTCCGTATTGATATATGCTGAGTTCAGATAAACTAATCCACCAAATTGCTCCTGTTAAGTCTAATGCATAGACTTTCCCTTTGTGAAGTATAATATCCAAAAAACCTTTAGCTTCTTCATTGTTTATTCTTGTCCAACGTCTACTTTCTTCTCCGCTCTTGCAACACCAAATTTCGTTTTTGAAGTCAACTACGAAAAACATATTGTTTAGGAAAACAACTCTAGCCGAATTCGCAGAAGACTTATAACCTACGATAACATCTCTACCCGAAACACGTTTTGTAATCTTGGTCAAGTACTGAACGTTGTAAGATTGACGAATTTCCGAAACACCGAGCTTCAAAAGGTCTAGGATTTTGTCGGAAGGGGTGATGGGCTGGCCAGAGAGAGGAGACAAGAGATTATTCTTACTAGATTCAGAGACTTGTCTGGTTTTGATCAGCCATCCTTTGTTAGGACATGGAGAAGGGAGAGTTACACGGAAGACAGTGCTGGGAGAGACAACAGTCTTTTTCTTCTTGAAAGTAGGAAGGTTACGTTCAAAGTGGTTATGGAGACGCTTCTTGGTCGCAATCGTGGAACGCCAGGGTTTACAGATGCTACGGAAACGGAGGAGATTGATGTTTGAAGATAAATTATTAGCTAACAAATCTATGAGATCTTCATGTAAATCAGACCACCCAACTTTACCCATCTCAATCTCTATCTTTCTGTTGTTGTTACTTGTTACAGAAGAAACCTAAGAGTTTTAACGAAACAGATTTAGGAGATATGTATTTATAGCTTTCTCACATCAGTTTAGGAATATATTTGCGCAGGATAAAGCGTAAGATTTAACGATACTCATAAAAAATGGAAATACGGTGGAATTTCCTTTATAGAATCGAAAGATATTTCCTTTTTTTTTGTTTTGTTTAACGTAACTTGTTCCCCAAGGTATTTCAGAAAACCTTTTTTTTTGGTTTACAATTTTATATGGAGATTTTGTAATATTTTTATTTTATTTTTTATTCTTTTTAGGTAATGTTTTTTGCCATTGTTTGGAACTTTGGAAGTTAACGTCATAGAAATTCCACCATTGAACTGAAGATATAATATTAGATTAGTAAATTGTAAATGGAAAAATTCAAAACTAAAGAAAAAAATATTCAAAAATTCCATCATTTTTGGAACATCCTTTAATGGTTGTTGGATGCCCAAAGTTTCTATCTGTTTTGTTTATTACGTTGCTAGTTTAGTGTTGATGACAAATGTTTGTGTATCAATTATGAATCTGCTTCTTTATCTGGCCAGGCAAAGAAGTCCCTGAAGAGTTCACTCAAAAAAGCTATAGGAAACTCCATAACCATCCGTCTAGGTCCGGGTGATGAGGGGACTCAGTTTGTGTCCTCAAGATTTAAGGCTTGCCTTCTGCTTTCTCTTACCAAGAACTATGTTTTTTTCTGTAACTTGTCGTTTAAGAAACCAAGGAGGTGCCGTCATTAATGAACTTGAATATGAGTCATGGACAATGTCTTCATGGTGACCTGTTTGATCAACAAAACAAAAAGCCCTGAATTGGATGTGACAACAAGTGAGATTCTGTTTGAATTTTTTTGTTATATACATTATTGTATTGTGGATATGTGTATCTAAAGCAAAGCCTACAACTACAAGTCGCTGGTTCGAGTGGTACTTGAGAGAAAACCATATTAAATGCTCTGACCTCCGTTTTGAGGGGATGTACGAGCCTATCTCAGAACCTCTTAGTAATTAAAAAAAAAATCAAAATTTCAAATAAATACGTTTTTATTTTATTTTAATTTTAAATGACAAATATGTGAACAGATCATTTTCGTATATTTTATTAACAGTTATGTGAATAAGTTCCATTACAAAATGGTAAAAACGACGGTCACATAAGATGTCTTATTAATTGATAACAGAAAGCTGGGAAATATGAAGAGAGAAAGCTGAAATCAAGTTGATTTCTTGTCGGAGTTAGAGACGAGCCACGAAGAGAAGTTATGGAGAGTGGTGTTATCGACTCGATAGCCCGACTGGGTAAATTTCTGAAGCTGAGCCCAAGTAAAGTCAGGGTACTTTCTAGAAGCGTCTTCGCCTTCCACAAGTTCAGGAGGAGGTACGATGGTCTTGTCTTCTCTAGGACAAGAGAAGAACACTAATGACCTTCTCACTTTTTCCGTGTTTACCACTGCCCTGTGGTAACAACTCTTGTAGTTTCCATTTGACAATGCCTTTCACATCAAATCCAAAATAATTAAAAATTATATTTTGTATATTATAAAAGTGGGTTTTTAATTTAATGTTGAACAACCCAAAAAAAAAAAAAAGGTAGTGATTTATCCTTCCACCAGTAAATGTCGAGTAATATCCCCATTTTGTCAAAACACTGGCGTTTGTATTAAAAAGTTAAAGCATTATTTTCCGGAAAATTGTTTTGTATCTAATAAATTTTTTCATTGTTGAGAAAATCTGGTAGCCTTATTCATTAAAAGGTAAACGTACCATGAAGGTGTCTCCAATGTTGACGACAAAAGCACCAGGACGAGGGCGAACGGTCTGCCACCTAGCTCCGGCAAAGACCTCTAAGCCCACAACATCGTCTTGAAGCAAAACGGTTATAGCCGTTGGGTCATTATGGGGACCAACACCAAGGGCTTTCTCTGGCTGCTTGCACGGCGGATAATAGTTGCATCTGAAGATGCCACTTCCATCTTCGAAGAATCTCCGGTAGTATGTCCTGTCTTTTAAACCCATACTTATTCCTAGAAGCTCCATCAAATCCATAATCAATCCGTTCATTGCTTCACAAAATTCTTGGAACACTTTACTGAAACAAAACCAAGAAGTTCCAAGGAACATTTTAGAGTTAGTATCGGGTATCCGGATTTCGTAAAACTGGCCAACTAATCCCAAGGTGAGCAAACCTTTCATAAGGAGTTTTAAATAAACTCACCACCGCTAAATCACCCGAGCCAAAACTCAAGTGGTCCACGGGCAAAATGTACATTGTGAAATGAAAGATGGACCGTGGAGAGTTTACATTCTCCGCCCTAGAGGCCTAGACTCAATATCATTGTGCCAACACACACTAGATTCAAATAGGATTTCTCATAGCGTTAATATAACTATAGTATATGCATGCAATAGATTTACCCGATCTCTTGACGATCATTGCCTAGCCTTGAGGTTAGGAATTCCTCAACAACTTGGTGTGGCCCTTTTTGGAATGCCAAAGTCAAAGTCTCATTCCATGGAAGATTGGAGGAGAATCTCTGGCTATGACCCGCGGTATAGCCAGAGATTTTCCCCGGGATCCTATAAGCCTTTAGCTTCTCATCCTTGGATAGCCCAAAGAACAAACTCGATATCTCAAGCGCCTTTTCAGCCAAGCCCGACTTGAAGCCATGATTGACCACTAGAAACGTACCGTGAGCCATGCACGCTTCTCTCACTGCCTTAGCTGCAAGTTGCGTCTCGGCCTCATTGCCATTCAAGAACCCACTCAAGTCAATGACTGGGAGGTCGAGGTCGCCGTCTGAAGGGGCGACATCTTTTTCCGGCCAGAAGAATTCAGCTGGAACATTTGGTTGGTTTTGGAGTAGGGAGAAGTTGACGTCGGAGGAATTCATTTCTCTTGACTTGGGTCCTTTGAGTTTGAAGGGATTTAAATAGGGGCAGACTATGACTGTGTTGTTAAGGACAGTTTTGTCTAGATACATATATGCACTTTTTTTTTTAGTTTTATCTTTTTTTCATATCTTATCTTATTATTGATATCGGCCATGATTGTTTACAAAATCATACTCCCTCCGTATTTTAATAAGTGTCGTTTTAGGATTTTCTTTTTTTTTAAAATTAGATGTCGTTTTCAAATTTCTATGCAAAACACTACAAAAAACAAGGTAGAAGGCGTCAGTTTTTTAACGTCATAAGTTAAACCGACGTTAAAAGTTTAAGTGGGAAGCAATATAACGTCGTTTTGATAACCGACATAAACTTTAATATTCTTAAATAATTATTGTAAAACTGTTGATCAATTAAATAGTTAAATTGTTCAGGTTTGTAACCCTAAACGCTTCGTCATTTCTTCTGCAAAATTCAGAATATGAGTGAACCTTCGAGTTCTCATCTGCTCATCGGAGCTTCTTCGTCGATTCGCACCTTCGTTTCCTTTGAAGTTCAATTGTTCTCTATTGTAAAACTGTTGATCAATTAAATAGTTAAATTGTTCAGGTTTGTAACCCTAAACGCTTCGTCATTTCTTCTGCAAAATTCAGAATATGAGTGAACCTTCGAGTTCTCATCTGCTCATCGGAGCTTCTTCGTCGATTCGCACCTTCGTTTCCTTTGAAGTTCAATTGTTCTCTTTTCCGATTTAGATCGAAAGATGTGGAATCATATCTCAACTCGATCAAAGACGCCAAATCCTCTATTTTCTGCGTTCGATCGGGATCGAGATTGTTGGTATGTTTGATGTTTCTTATAATTTCGTTGTATTTTTGATTGAATTAGGTTGATTTTGACAAGAATTGTGAATCCAATTTAATGATACGTTTGAACTTTTGATTGAATTTTTGGATAGTGTCGTCGGCGGTGAATCTCAAATCTTGGGAGATTCAGTAGTTTGAGTTTTGAGATAGTTTTTGTTGAAATTTCAATCTGTTTCGATCTCTAAATTTTTGATAGATTCTGGTCACATTCAATCTTTCTTCAAGGATCTGCAACTTACTTACGCTTTTCTTTGTTTTGATAAACTAACATAGAATTGAATTTGGTAAAGAGGATAGTACTAAGCATGGAGTAATGCACAGAGACTTAAAACCTGAAAACTTCTTGTTTGCAAACAAGAAGGAAAGTGCATCTTTGAAGGCTATTGATTTTGGTCTCTCTGTTTTCTTTAAACCAGGTGATGTATTATCATCTTTGATACTTGGTTTCGGCGGAATTGAAAGGAATCTTTAACCCACTAATGTTTTGTTTGCGGGCGAGAGATTTAACGAAATCGTTGGGAGTCCTTACTACATGGCTCCCGAGGTATTAAGGCGGAGTTATGAACAAGAAATCGACATTTAGAGCGCAGGAGTGATTCTTTACATATTGCTCTGTGGTGTTCCACCTTTTTGGGCAGGTTTAGTTTTGTCAAATCACTTTTTGTGTCAGTTTTTTTTGTAGAATCATACAAATGTAAACGACACCTTTTATATCTTGTTTGTTTTCAGAAACCGAACATGGAGTCGCGAAAGCAATTCTTCGATCTGTGATCGACTTCAGAAGAGACCCCTGGCCCAAAGTTTCTGATAATGCAAAAGATCTGATAAAAAAGATGCTTCATCCAGATCCAAGGCGTCGTCTATAAGCTCAACAAGTGCTTGGTATCATCTCTGCTTTCAAAAGCAATTGTTTTTGGTGCTCATATGAAATCAATGTTAAGACTGATCAATCATCTTTGGTTTATAGATCATCCGTGGATACAGAATGGTAAGAATGCTCCCAATGTATCATAATCAACAGAGATCAAATCTTCCCAACATTTTGTTGGATCAATCCATGAGAGCTCGGGTAAATATATCTTCATTCTCCTTGAAATCTCAGTCTATTAACCACCTCGAGTTCTTAATGTCATGGTGGATTATTTTTTACTTCAGCTTGTTGTCTTTGGACTATTTAGAGGAACATGCTGCTAACATCAGAGGAGCATTTGGTTATCTCGATCCCGAATACGTTTCCACAAGAACATATACCAAGCAAAGAGATGTTTATGGCTCCTGGGTTTTACTCTTTGAGCTTATAGCTGGGAGAAATCCTCAACAAGGTCTAATGGAATTTGTTGAGCTGGTAGATGTCATGTGTGTATGATTTATGTTTTGTAAGACAGGACTACAAAGTTACATTTTGTGTATAAAGATATGAATTTGATCAATGTAATGATTCATATGGATCAGCTTTTAGAAATTTTATCAAGTTACATTTAAGTTATATCTTTATTATACTAGATTCTTAATAATAAATAATTAGTATAAATAGAAAATAAATGATGCATATTTGCGTCGGTTGTGTAATTGACCCAAAGCTGAAGATTTAAAGTCGAAAGAAAACCGATGCTAATTGAAAAGAAACCGACGTTAATCTTTTGATGTTAAACATTGCGTCATTTCTTTAAGTGAAGCGAAAAAAGTTTACGTCGGCCAATGTTAAGTCGTTTTAAAAACTGACGGTAAAATATTAACGTCTGTTTAATACCGACGTTAAGTATTAAAACAAATGACGTTACAAGCCGTGTTTCTTGTAGTGAAATTTCTTACTTTTTAATGTTTTATGACATCATAAAACATTAAAAAGTAATAAATTTTTCATAGAAATTTGAAAACGACATCCAATTCAAAAAAGTAAAAATTCTAAAACGACACTTATTAAAATACGGAGGGAGTACATTGCATTAATTTGTTAGTCAAACGAAAACGCAAATCGACATATATAATGTCTGAAATTTCTATACAATAGCATTCACACTTCAGAACACAAATCAAATTTTCTTTTTTGTTTATGCTTCGTGTCACGTTTCGAATTTTAAATAATTGTTATTTCCATGTTCACATATACAGATTTTAATTTCTATTATAGTCTTTTATACACACTTATTTATTTGTTTGTTTATTCAACATCTGGCAACTTTATTTATCAAGATAAGATCAACTCACCTAATGTAGACATATATGTATTTTACCACATATCAGAAGAATAATATAACAGATGTAATGCAATATAATATCTACTGTTAAAATATAATAACATAACAAAATTTGTAATTTTGTTATGTTTAATCAAAATAGAATAAACCACTACTCTTTTCTGTTTAATAATTTTCGTTACCCTCAAATCAATATTTTTTCTTCAATATAAAATTTTGTCTACATAATTTCATAATACTTTGTTAGATCTGCAACTAGCTAGCCATGTATGTCTACAAGAATAAATCCTTAAACCTACATGCAGTGGCAACTTGACCACTGGGATGTTGCAAGGGTGCTTTGTCCCAATTTAATTTACAAAAAAAAAATTCTCTTACCCCAAGAGCTAAATACTAAATTGAAAAAAAGAATAAAAATGCATGACTAATTAGATCCTAAAATGTATTACTAAGATTTTTTACGCATTGTTTTAGTATGAAGCTTTTTGGTCATAATAATTATTTTTATTATTTTGACATGCTTTTTGCCCATTATTTAAATATCAACAATCGAATTCTTTTGGGATATTATTATGTGTTGTGTGTGAGCAGCATCTTATCGAACTTTGACATGTTTTTCAATGGTGGAAATTGTAAAGGTCAACTATTTTGAGCGTAGCTCGATTGTAAGTGAGAGTAAGTCGATGATATTCAAAGTGACTTTACTGACCAACTTTTGATGGTCGTACGCAATTCACCATCTTTCCAAAAATCACCATTCAATGTAAATAATGTTGCGTTTTTTTCTCAATAAAGAGTTCCATTATTGGAAACTGCATTCACACAGCTATGTGCCTATGTCTATGAGTCTATGACTATTCGTCTATTTTTCTCTCATTCCTATCATTTTAATATTTTACAATGAAAGTTCAAATTAAAAATCTTTTTTTCTCTATTAAAATGCTTACCATTTTGTCTTTATAAAATGGGTGAATTAAATATATATATATATATATATACATAGACGACTAAGACGTACTATAGTATTTTAATTTCTAAAATACGCAAATTGTTAATGACCTATAACATAATGATTTGTGCAGTTGTAGTATAGTGTCGGGTGTATCACCATTCGTGTTCAAATTCTTATAATACATATAGTATTATTGTTGACAAAAAAATGTGTTAGTGTTGAAAACCAAAAGCTATGATTTAGACCAATATTGTTTTTTATTGTAAATTATTTGATACACATGAAAAAGTGGACATATTTTTAAAGATTTTCCCCTTTTTGAAAGTTATTTTGAATTTGTAAATTTTGTTAAAATCTGTAGGAATTTTTATAAAACTAAATTAAGAGTATAAAGATACAGAAAATTTGAATCTATATATACATTTTTGAAATACATTTAGTAAATAAATCATGGAGTTCTACCTTATTTACGATCAAATGTCATTGGCATTAATTGTTTAAATATTTTTATTTTCGAATTATCTTTGCACTTAATTATATTTGTATTATCGTGGCAATTATTTATCGATTAAAGAGATAACAAAGAAAACATAATATATTTAATTATCCTAATAAATAGTAGTTACCATAACTACTATAATCCTATACTATTATTTGGGGAGTACAATTTATAATTACCCTTTAATAACCTTCTCCTTTATAAGTTATTACATTAGAATGCCATTAGAGATAAAAAAAATATAAAGAGTAAATTAGTATTTGAGTAAATATGCTAATATCACGAAATTGAAGAGTAATTAATAATTTTGCGAAATATGCTAATATCACGAAATTGAAGAGTAATTAATAATTTCTATAAAATCGTTGTAATGAATATTTTGTGGATAAAATCAGAAAATGGATTATGTTCGAGTTAGTAATTGTGATCACATTAAATATTCGGTAAGTTAGAAATATTAGTTTCGATATTTATGAAAACAAATTAGGCTTAAATTCGTTTCTTAATTAATTTGTTTGTTAAATATATTTTTAAAATTTATTTAAAACTTAAGAATTTAAGACAATGTCATTTGATTGTAAATAAGTTCAAAATTCAGGATTTATTTCATAAAATGGATGCAAAAATGTATATATAGAAGATATCTATATTTACATTTTCGAAGACATTTTTGAAATAAATCCTGGGTTTCGCTACTATTTACGATAGAATGCCATTAGCTTTAAATGTTGATACATTAATTAATTTCGCCTTTAACACCTAAAAATCGTTTGTTGGAAATAGTTTTTTAGATTCTCTATTTTTTTCCATTTAGAAAGATGATAAATTTACTAATCCTTATTTACAACATAAATCCAGAATATCTAGCAAATAGAAACTAATTATACTCTCAATCGTTTATAGGTAATATTTTCAATATTATTAAAAAATATAACAAAATGATGTTTAATTTCACGGGACGGAGTTATATGAGAGATAGTTTTGGGTCGATATTAATACGGGACGGTATACTACGGGTGAAATCCTAGAATTAACAATCAAATACAATTATATAATTTTAAGCAATAAAAAACAAATAATATTCACACAAAAAAACAACCTAAATTTTAAAATCTTAAGTTTTAAAAAATCGACCCGAGGTGTACCGCGAGATTATAAACACATATATATGTACATTTAAATTAAACAAAACAATAGGTTATATCTATAGATAATTTTTAAAAAATAAATTTTCAATTTTTTTAAAAAATATAGCTCCGCGGTACAATTTAAAATATATCCCATTGTATGTTATTGTTTTTATATATTAAAACAGTAAGTCTCAAACTGAGTAATTTGACACTAAATAATATATAGATATAGGATTGTACATTTACAAAATACAGACTAATAGGTTATATAATCTGTTAATCAATTAAACAAATCACATATTAACTTTTTTATAATAAAATATAGCCCCGCAGTGTACCGCGGGTTAAAATCTAGTAGCTTAAATCTTATATGATAAGAAATGGTTATTTATTGAGCAATAAAAATACGCATCTCCAAAATTATTTTAAAAGAATTTAATATCTAATTTTTTACCCAAAGTAGAAGTTTGTGCAAACTGTTTTAAATACTAGAAAAAAACAATTTTTTGAGAGTCAGACACCAAAATGTCATAACTTGTAAATGCCTAAGAAAAAAGCAAGCAACATTTAAGTATGAATGTTTTGAAGAAGAAGATGAGTTTGACAAAGCCACAAATTTAAGGTAGACTCTTGCCCAAATTACAAGCTTAAAGAAATCATTTATTTGAACTAACATTTAAGTCTTAGTACATACATATGCATTGCTTTACTTCAATCAAAACATTATTTTTTACATGACCTGTTTATTTTCTTCTAAAATTTACCTAGTTTGACACAAATTTAAGAAAAAATAACTAGATTAACATCCAAATATTATGGTTTACTAGAATAATACAATTTTTTTGTTAAAAGACCAAATATCCATTTTATTTTTAATTCTACTAAAATCTAATAATTAGCATATAATAATTAAATTAAATAGAAAATTAGAAGAAACAATTAGAAAACAAAAAAAAATCAAAAACAAAAAAAATTGAAAAATAAGAAAAAAAAATAAAAATGAAAAAATATATAAATTGAAAAAATCAATAAAAATATAAAACGAAATTTTTTTTAACCTAATCATATATTAGCAAGGAGAAAGATACACATAAGCCATCTAATATAAATAAGTCTGTCACGGTAAGAATATGTCTATCCTTATCTTATTGTGTATATTAAATTCTAATTTCATCAATAAAACTCACATTATACGACAGACTTTTTATAACCTATCTGAAATCTGTCGTAATATAAAAAAAAATCTATCATAATATTAAATATTTCGGTTGCGAGTATATGTCATTCTAACAATTTATATTTTCATATAACAAATCCGCTATCACATTTCCCTTTTTTTTATTTAAAAAAACTGTCATAACATAAAATAAATTTGTTATCACTTATATTTCAAAATAGTAATTATTTTTTCATTAAGAAAGCTGCTACATTATGGCAGATTTTTATCGAAAAGTATAAGTTTGACGTCACTGAAACAATAAATCTGCCACACATTTTAGTAAATCATTCAAAATTACGAAAGTATGTGGTGTCATCATAAAATAAGTCTGTAGTGGGAAAAAAATCTGCTACAAATTAAATATCTATCGTAAAATAAGTTTGAGCTGGAGCAATTTCAGGATTGATGACCTTCCAGAAAATAATTGTC